AATCATTTTTAGGTTTACTAATCTCCATTACCCAAAAACTAAACTACATTTCAAAATATGTGCGTTTTGGTTATTGGTTGAGTCTAAGACGTACGTCTTGTCTTATTTGAGACTCTTCAATCGAATATGCTCACCAACCTGTCATCCACTGTGCCACAGATTCTAGATAACAATTAGCTTATACAATTGGTAGAATGTTTATTCATAAGGGTTTGTATTACCGTTACCTCATTGTTGATACTGAGGATTTAATTTTGGTTAGTTTTGCTTAGTTTCATCCAGTTGATATGTCACAAATAAAACGAGATCCGTTTTCTAGATTTAGTCAATAACACAATTCTAGTACTTGTTAAATGCAAGCTAAATGGAGGTGATTCACTCAAGTTTAACGTCTACTAATAAATAGTGATCATAGTTATATAATATACCGTTGTGGGCTAGGGTAATTTTACATTGGTTTTCAGGATAACCAGACACCATCCAGAATTTCAGGTGACAGCCCAAACAGTACAGCTCAATTCTGTTTAAGAGGAGAGTCAGACACCGCCCAGGCTTAAAATTTGTAGCCTAAATAATACGGCTCAGTTGTGTTTCCAGGAGAACCAGACACCGTCCAGGCTTAAACTTTATAACCCGAGCAGTACATCTCAATCCCGCTTCACAAGAGAACCAGACATCATATAGGCTTTAACGCTACAATCTGAATAGTACAGCTCAATCCTATGACGCAACCACAGAGATACCAAACACCCTGATGGACCATTCTCATCGTTCGTATACACACATTCACATCACATGCATAGTTATTCTGATCAATGATCGCGTAATCAGTTGTATAACATCAAATCATTAAGAATCAATTTGATGAATAGGATAAATTCATAAGAGAATATATTATACACAAATATTAACTTTTGCTTAATGCTTTCATATTCTCTCTTTTATATCAAACTATAATCAACCAGTTGATTCCTATTTAGCTTTTATTCTACACTTACTGATTATGTTATGCATATATATATGAGTCTGATTAATAGAGAGGGTGTTTGTGTGTGTGTGTGTGAGTGAGTGAGTGAGTGAGTGAGTGAGTGAGTGAGTGAGTGAGTGAGTGAGTGAGTGGGTGAGTGAGTGAGTGAGTGAGTGAGTGAGTGAGTGAGTGAGTGAGTGAGTGAGTGAGTGAGTGAGTGAGTGAGTGAGTGAGTGAGTGAGTGAGTGAGTGAGTGAGTGAGTGAGTGAGTGAGTGAGTGAGTGAGTGAGTGAGTGAGTGAGTGAGTGAGTGAGTGAGTGAGTGAGGGGTGGTGAGTGAGTGAGTGAGTGAGTGAGTGAGTGAGTGAGTGAGTGAGTGAGTGAGTGAGTGAGTGAGTGAGTGAGTGAGTGAGTGAGTGAGTGAGTGAGTGAGTGAGTGAGTGAGTGAGTGAGTGAGTGAGTGAGTGAGTGAGTGAGTGAGTGAGTGAGTGAGTGAGTGAGTGAGTGAGTGAGTGAGTGAGTGAGTGAGTGAGTGAGGTGAGTGAGTGAGTGAGTGAGTGAGTGAGTGAGTGAGTGAGTGAGTGAGTGAGTGAGTGAGTGAGTGAGTGAGTGAGTGAGTGAGTGAGTGAGTGAGTGAGTGAGTGAGTGAGTGAGTGAGTGAGTGAGTGAGTGAGTGAGTGAGTGAGTGAGTGAGTGAGTGAGTGAGTGAGTGAGTGAGTGAGTGAGTGAGTGAGTGAGTGAGTGAGTGAGTGAGTGAGTGAGTGAGTGAGTGAGTGAGTGAGTGAGTGAGTGAGTGAGTGAGTGAGTGAGTGAGTGAGTGAGTGAGTGAGTGAGTGAGTGAGTGAGTGAGTGAGTGAGTGAGTGAGTGAGTGAGTGAGTGAGTGAGTGAGTGAGTGAGTGAGTGAGTGAGTGAGTGAGTGAGTGAGTGAGTGAGAATGAGATCAAAACCCTTGCTATTTGTTAATACAATTACTATGATCACTAATATAATTATTGAGAATTGAATGAAAGTCATCATAATCTAAATAGGTACATTAATGAATGTTTAATCATTTCTATTATGATATCAAACAGTGAAAGAGAGAGATAGAGAGACAGAGAGGTAGTTATGTTTTGTTTCTTTATTAATGATCTAATATAGTACATTATTTATTCCATATACAATGCGACATATAAATGTACCAATCTATGATTGAATCTGCCGCATTTATTTCCTTTCAATGAAAGTCCAATGAATTTTCATTGTTTGTTTATTATGACTTATTGCATAGTAACAGAATTATTTATTTTTCTATCATATAAATGTGAATTAAGTAATCATAATCGAAGTGTATACACTGAATGAATAATGAGAATAAATATCCAAAAGAGAGAGAGTTAGAGAGAGAGAAGAAAAAAAAGCAAACTAATCATAATGTACAATACAATAATGATTGATATACACACAATTCATTGAATGAAATCATGATTATTCATTTGAAACAATGATATACTAATGGACGGTCTATACTCCTCCTCCTCCACGAGGAGTAGTGACAGGCGTAGTTAAGTATCTAGAATATGATCAAAGGGATTAATATATTCGTTTATATACTATTCATATCATTCAGTTGACATATATATATAATAATGTCTAATAAACATATACAAACTAATAACTATAATAAAGCATTATATAATTTCAACAATTAAGATCATGAGTCATTTGAAGCTAGACAACCATGGAAAATCTAGAAGCTCTGGGCGGCCGCTTCTTCCTATCGTGGGACTCCTCAGCAGTGCGCATCTACGACCCCCAGGATTTAGCAGTCTCGAACCAGACGCTTAACCAACTAGACCACTGAATCGGCCGGCATCCAACGGTATTAATGTCTAACTTCAAGTAATCCAGGAAATTGAGCGACATATCCATTATATAATTACCAATAAATCACTATTATCCTATACACAAAATCCTTCTTATTTGTTCTCACGTTATGTTTTTTTATTTATTATTTTCAATCATTATAATATGAGAATAAAATGGTATTGCATGTTGTTACATAAATAAATTACATGTTAAATTTCAATGGTTAAGATCATGAGTATTACTGCTGAAGAGTCCCACAATAGGACGAAAAGGCCTTCAAACAATGCTTCCAGGTTTTCGATGGTGGTCTAGCTTCAATTGACTCATGAAAAAAACTTCACCATTGAAATTACTATAATATCCACAAAATCCATCTGACATGTTAAATTGTTTATATCAGTGAATTTTATTATATGATTGTTATACCTTTTCATTTTTTTTCCCGAAATCCCTGTCGTCCATTGTTATATCTTGTTTGTTTCAATGCTGAATTGTCTTGTCTCTTTTAATACTTACTTGTTATATCTGGTCGTCGTTGATTGTTATGACGGAAACACTTATCACTTATACTTGAAACAAGAGATCTCTGCAATTCCCACTACGCGAAAGTAAGGATACAAAGACTGGTATAAGTGTAGATTTATTAGCCCAAAAACACTATGACAACGACGACGACCCTAGTCGAAAATACACTTATTTATATATTGACTATACACCCATTTTAATTAATAATTAGGATGAAATCACATATACGAAAAATACTTAGAGTTATAACAAATCATATACTGAGCATAATTCATGTCTATTGAATAGAAGAATATCGAAGCACTGGACGGGCCGGGATCATGGATGCACACTGCTGAGGAGTCTCATACTAGGACGAAACGGCCGTCAAACAGTACTTCCAGGTTTTCCATGGTGGTCTAGCTTCAATTGACTCATGATCTTAACTACTGAAATAATTTTTGTGTCACGTCAACATATATGGATTACTTACCACACAGAACTTGAATAATTTTAAACACATATGAATTGAATGAAGATTCTGTCAAGATTTTTATTGTTAACATTTTCTGTTTATGAATATAAAAAACCTCAAAATGTTCTAGTGAGAATACATGACTGGCAGGGTTCAGATAATTTCCCAATGAGATTGAATGACTGTCACACTACATTTCAAATTGACTGAAGTTGAAATGGGAAGCCAAATGATTGGTTCCAATAATAAAAAGCTCTCCTCGAGACCTGAATGCCTTAAATTCGATATGTGTTGGTGTTATTTACTAGGATGAATCGAATGTTTCCTAGTTTTCAATGGTATCTCTGTGATGATTACAACCTACACTTTAGATTAATCTCCATAAAACATTTGTAATAATAAAAATATATGCACACCCTATATACTTGACCAAACCAGCTACTTGGATGAGAACAATATGAGTGAGTAGGAAGCAACAGAATCAAGAATATATGTGTAAAATAAAGTCACATTTTCAGCCAATAGCGCATTGTTCTTTCTTTGGAAAATAAAGCCTAATTTTGAGTAATAACTTGCTGTCTCATCAGCATCTGTCACTTATCATTTGGTTTATGTTTGAATGCACTAGCGTGTGGCTATTGGAATTTAATGGTCAATACCACAGCCTAGACGAATGATCTTAGTTAGTACTCACTGATTGATCACTCCCATATCCTCAGTCTTCTGAGAGGTTGATCACATCTTCGATATCTCATTGGTAAAGTCTTTGAGTATGACACTGAGTGACTCTGGCTCAGATCTTACAGTTTCCTGAAGACCGCGGGTATGCCTTGCTTTTTATGTATGTCAACTAACACAGGCCCTGAATAAAACAGGGTTTTCTACTGATAGTCCATAGCTTTCTGTATATTACATCCCACCTTTATCTTTGAATTTATGGTAACTTGACAAGATCATATTTAACTCAATTTCATTAGCTGGATTGATTTTTCTCAAGGACAGTATGATTTCATAGTTCTTTATAATTCACTGATCATAGCAGAGAATAAACTGTTTAATTATATGAATGGATCTGTTTGATAAACTAACGGAACTTCGTTCCGTAACACATCGTCAAGGCGACGATGATAATATAAAGAACTTTCCTCAATACTACACTTCTCAATTGTTGATCTCTTTATTTATTTTACAAATATTTTTTTTTAGATCTGTGATTTTGGTTTAGCTCGTATAGCTGATCCAGAATCAGAACAATCGGGTACATTAACAGAGTATGTGGCTACACGTTGGTATCGTGCACCAGAAATAATGCTTACATCGAAATTATATACTAAAGCAATTGATATTTGGTCAATTGGTTGTATTATGGCTGAAATGCTTAGTAATCGTGTTCTATTCCCTGGAAAACATTGTATCCTTTTATTTTCTTTTTTTAATTACATATATTACATAATATGTATTTCTCTATTTTGTATTAGTTTGCTCAATAGATAATCCATTAAGGCATTAAATCAAAACAAAGGGTACTTTTACTTGAATCTTCCCATTGATGTTTTAGGACTGAAATTGATCAGTCTCTTATTGGCATATGTGCATACTGTGCGTATGCCACGATATTGCCTGAAGTTACAAGCATTATAAGCAAAGATGGATAGTGACTAACAGTGGAATCCAGTTTGACGCGCGTTTCATCCTATTTAGGATTCGTCAGCTGGATGTACCTGCATCTCAGAGTTGATTTCACTCAGGTACATCCAGCTGACGAGTCCTGAGCGGGACGAAACGCGCGTTCTCGATTCCGTTGCTAGCCACCATCCATCTACAAAGGGTACTTGGTTTAGGTCTCAGTATGAATAAAAACTACACCAAGCTGTCATATACACATCCAAATGATGAATCTTGAATAGGATAAAATGTTCATCTTCAATACCTTTGTTATTCACTGTTCAAATTTATCAATATGTTACTTTGTTTGATCACTTTACGGGTCTTTCATTATTGATATTAATACATAAACAAATGGTCCACCACGGTGCTTGATATCTGTGTGGTTGTGCCACGGGATTGAGCTGTAGCATTCAGTTTGTAGCGTTAAAGCCTATATGATGTCAGGTTCTCCTGTGAAGCGGGATTGAGCTGTACTGCTCTGTTTATAAGATTTATGCCTGGACGGTGTCTGGCTCTCCTGTTAAACGGGATTGAGTTGTACTATTTGAGTTGTCACGTGAAATTCTGAATGGTATCTGGTTCTCCTGAAAAACAATGTAAAATTACCCTGGCCCACAACGGTATATTATATAACTATGAACATAAACAAAACACCCCCCCCCGGTTATTGGATGTAAATTAAACATTGAATTCATAAGAAAAAATACCTATATAGATATTATATTTTCTTTTGGGAACTCTTGATAATTCTTTAAAAAACTCTTCAGAAACCAAAGGAACATTCTGAATATACTTCAGCCACTTAATGTTCCTTAAAAAAAAACAACTTCTAAACAGTTTCAAGGAAACGATGAATTGGAAAATAATTTAGTTCGCCTGGAGTCCCTCCGGGAGCTACTGCTGGTCCCAAGCTCGGATAAAGGAGGAAGGTTGGGCATAGGGTTAGCAACCCCATCCCGTAGAAAACTAACTCGCTATTAAGCGCTAACCAATTTTAGAATCTTGTTCTGAAACTTCTGATCCTATCTAGTCTTTTAAGTGCCATTATTTTCTGTAGATAAACTCAATCTTTAAAATGAAACTTTTTCTGTACTTTCAACTTTATATTCTTTTTTTTCTGTTCAGAGTTCAAGAGTAGGAAGATTTATGAGGATTGAAAAGTCAGTGTTTAAGCGTTTAAGTCTATGCTGATAATGTTGTTCAGAAGAACAATGAAAGCTCCACAACTAAAACCATCCAGCTCAGAGAATAATACTCCACCAAATTCATAACAGTCTAGAACTCCTAACATTTATGTTTATCGATAAGTTCATATAGTTTAACAAGGAGTGATCACGATCAAACCATTCCGCTTAGAGAACAAAACTTCATCAGGAATGACTATTCTCTATTATGTCATCAGTTGCATTTTTCTCATAATGATCTCCTCCCCTTCCAGCCAAACAAGTTTGTGAAACCTAGTAGACCTTTCTGGAGAGAAAACAGGCCACGTCAAAGCACGGCACAGCTACCGGGGCTAGAATAGCTGTTTTTGCAATCCATTGGAGTTTGCTCTTTGACAAGCAACTCCGTATGTTATATGCACCACTTTTGTAACTTTTTGTCGTTTTCCAACCCAAATGTAATTGTGCTGTGTTTCTCCGTGGGTTTCGTAATCAGAGTGTGGATATCGGTAAGAGTGGGTAATTAGCCCGATCTCCACTACTCGGGTTACCGCTCACATTAGTTCATGAGTCATTCGTCCCATTGTCCAGGAGGCACGACGCGGACGTGTGACTCGGACTTCACTTCCCACATAATGATCTATTTATCTTTAATTTATTTCCTTTACATACTTCCACTTTCATTTCTTAAAATGATAACATTAATAACAGATATTGATCAATTAAACTTGATATTACAAGTTTTAGGTTCACCATCAAAAGAAGACTTTGAAACAATTGTAAATCTTAAAGTGAGTTTTGTTTATTTACTTTACGTCTTATGAAAGTTTTTAGGCTATAAAGCTATATGGTTGTGTAGAGCTGAAGGTTTCATATGAGACTGGAGGTTCGCCATTGGTATTGTGGATGGTTCGGCATTGCTTTGACATGTTTTGCTGACTGTTCATGCACAAAATTGGTTTGCTGGTTAATCGATTTCAGTCATACTGGTGGTTACTTTTCAGTGTTCTCAAGGGCTATTGTCATTGGGACATTGTAAGACATGTCGCCATTGCTAACATTAATGAGTTTGACTGTCGTGTAAGCGGAATAGGTCAACTTTGGCCTGTTCGCGCTATGCATAATTGATTCATGCGATCGTTGATCGGAATAACTATACATGTGACTTGAATGTATATATGAATGGTGCGAATGATCCACTAGGGTGCTTGGTACCTGTGTGGCTGCACTACGGGATTGAGTTGTACTATTCAGATTGTAGCGTTAAAGCCTATACGATGTCTGGTTCTCCTGTGAAGCGGGATTAAGATGTACTGCTCGGGTTATAAAACTTAATCCAGGGTGGTGTCCAACTATGCTGTTAAACGGGATTGAGCTGTACTATTTGAGTTGTCACGTGAAATTCTGGATGGTATCTGGTTCTCCTGAAAACCAATGTAGAATTACCCTGGCCCACAAGGTATTTTATATAGCTATGAAGGTTTTTAGCACACTAATACGAATGTTGTAGATAATCATGATCATTGAATTACCAATTTTGTTTCTACGATGTGTAAATTTCCAACATGATACGCTGATGACAATTTCATGCTAACGTTATAATCTTAGATTATCTAAATGGGGTAGTGCTACGTCGATCACTGTCATGTCGGACTGACGTAATCTGTATCATTTACTAGGTTTGCCATTCAGAATTTTTCCACCCTATGTCTGCTATTCCGTTTAAAGCCTAGAGACCCTAATCTTCAGTCTCTCACGCGAACGCTTAACCTATTGGATCACTGAGCCGGCATCCATTGGTTTTAATGTCTAACCTCAACCAATCCACGAAATTGCGCGACCATCCTACATTGTACTGAGGTAAACACCTGTTTATGTCCGACACGGATTAGCTCCACTAGTCAAGACTTCTCACCAGAACTCCGAGAATTTTCTCACGAAGCTAGTCACTACTGAGCACATGGTAATTATCAGTATAGGGGTTGTGGAGATTGTTAAGTTATTGATTGAGATCATTAACCGATTGATTTTAGACCACCGCCGGCTTAGTGGTCCAGTAGGTTAAGCGTTCTCGAGCGAGACTGAAGGCCCTGGGTTCGAATCCCGCGAGCGGGATCGTGGATGCGCACTGCCGAGGAGTCCCACAATAGAACGAAACGGCCATCCAGTGCTTCCAGGTTTCAAATGGTGGTCTAACATCAATCGGTTCATGATCTCAATCAAAAACTTTATAATCTCCACAACCCCTATACTGATATTTATTATTTGTTAACTACTGATGAATTATTTTGTGGTGAAACACTATTCAAAAGCAACTCACCTATACAGTAGTTAAAGATGTGCTTACACTAGTGCCTAATTTCAAGATGAATTCTTGAATTCGTACCGAGAAATAATGACTTGTGGTATTAAACCATGGCACGAATAAGATCACATTTAATGGTCATTTCACTATATGTAGTTAATTAACTGAAATTTGAGTTGTAAACACTTAGTTTTCAAATTATTTAATCCAAAATCAATTTGATCTCTTTAAAAAATTTAGTGTTGGCTTCATGTCTAATCATTTATGTATTCACATTGCTGAATAGTTCCAAACTGTAATCAGTGAGACTATAGTTTATGGACGACCTTTGAGTGACGGTAAAATGACCTTGAAGAAATTCACCTACTTGCGACGTTCAAAAGAGTTATATATATTAGTATGAGGAATTAGCAGTTTCTTGTGATATTAACCATTACAGATTGTCTTGATATTAGTTAAAAAATTAAAGGGTAATGTGGCAAGATATACATAAGATTAACAGTCTATATATATCCATAAAAACGTTTTTCTATTGACTACACTAAACAACCATGTAACAAGCAGATAAAGATGTTAAATTACTTACATCTGTTACCCCCGTGAAGCACAGAACGCTGGCCAGGAATCTCCTCCCAAATCTATCTTTGGTTCTTCACAGTCTGATTTTTACTTTTGATCCCAAACAATCAATTCTTTGGTCTTCCTCTATTTCTTTTCCCTTCACGATTCTAAGTTAGCGCTTACTTCGTGATGTCGTCTGATGATTCCCTCAATGTATGTCCTACACAATTCCAGCATCTTTCCCTAGTTCTCTACTCACCTGGAAGCTGGTTTGTTTCCTTTCACAATAAACTGTTTCTGATGGTGTTCGTTCAACGGATATTGAGTATCTTGCGTAGAAAGCTGTTTATAGATACTTGTACTCTTTTGACGACAGTTGCAGTAGTTCTCCACGTATAACCTCCGTGCAGTAAGACCATCGGTAGTGTTGCTAATCGGTCGATCGGTACGTGTTCGATTCCAACGAAAATCACTTTGTTGATGTAATAGTTGTGCATCTAGTGAATCTTTGATTTTGTTCAATAACAGTTGTTCTCCATATCGCCTTCCTCCTTTTCTAATAAATCATCTGACGCTTGTAACTTATTGCTGAGAGCTATCTCGAAGTCATTGACTTTCTGAACATCTCGAAGGACATTTGTGTGTAAATGTTGTAAGACTGACTGTTGAGTTATTCAATGCTTGTTGAGCTTGTGTTTCAGCTGTACCACCACCAGATGGTGATCGTAGATCGTGTGACCTCCTCTCTGTGTTTTGTGCTGGCATGTTCCATGGACCTCGTAAATTTTCAGTTGTTGCAGATATGGTTGATTCGGTGTTTTGTGGTGTGATCCGGTGAGTCGCATATAGCTTTGTGTATGTGTTTGTAATGGAGATTGATGTCACCTATAACCATTTTGTTGGAAACATATTTATATATATGCTAATCTGTCACCACAGTCGTTTATTTTTCCTATTACATGTTGCCTGATTACGTTTTTATATCCGTTGCTGTCGATCGCGATTATGATATTGAGGTGGTGCCTCGGGGTGATGAAGTGTTTTGTTTATGAGTTCTGTCGTAGAAATTTCTACTTTTCATTGAACTGATGTTTGTCGTCACGTTAATTGCCATCATGAGTGTATTGATTGAGATGGATGACATTGATTGTGATCTTTTCCTTCTTTATTTTAAATGAACCTGGATCCGTGAGATCTTTATTTTATAAGTACATTACGTAATTCTTTGGATCGGATCAGCGTAAATACTTGTGTGTGTCATGTATTTTCTACCTCATGATAAAATACAACTACACCTCTCCCGATGCTCTCCAATTTGCGTCCAGTGGTCGACCTTTTTGTTTCCGCAGCAATTTGAATGATCCTCTTGGTCTCTCAGATTTTACAGACATTCCATGTACCTGCATTAATTTTAGCTCTCGTTGTCAGAACTGGTACTGACATCGTGATTTCTGAAGATTCTCATCTTTCACTTCGAAACTCCATAACTTTTCTAAATGAAGACCCTTTAGCTCCAACCGTTGAGTTTAAACCTAAGTTAGACATCGATTGAAAATTCAGGAGTACTGGACAGTTGTACTGTCCCAGTGTGGGACTACCTAACACTACTCATGCACAGCTCCACTGTCAGGGATAGGACCCAATACCTTCAGTGTCACTTAGATATCCTTAAACTCTCGACCACTGAGTCAGGATACGTTGATATAAAGTGTACATTCAAATAGTCCCCTATTATTGGGCGGTCATCTTTTAATTTGTACTTTCTGCACACCCGACCATTGTTTAACTTTACTGTTCATGGTTTCCCACTAAAAATCAAAGAACTTCCTCTCCAAGCTAATCACTAGTTAACATATGATAATTTTCAGTATGGGGTTGCGGAGTTTGTTAAGTGTTATTGAACTTAGATTATGTTTAACGCTTGAATAGTTTCATGTTTTATAAATAAGTCTGATTGACGAAATTCCTCTGATATTTTATTGTATTACAAAGTTGTTAGTATATAAAATTTATCTCATATCGAACTCAGTTTCAGCAACCAGATATTATCATTAGCATTCTTATAATGAATGTATTCTGGGATGAAATAGACTACATAAACTACAGCTACTTATCAAATCACTCAGTCAGTCAGCTACAATGTGGGACCAGGCACATATATGCATCGGTCCAAGTTGCCATACCTCATTAACACAACAAGATGAACACCGAATTCATAGGAATAGTTAATTCAGTGGTGGTAATATATAAAAGAAAGATTACATATAAGGATATAGTACAGGAAGAAAGAATTAGTTAGTAGAAAGAAAGATATGAAGCGATTTTAATCTCTTTGTTTAAGGGAAGACAGAGAGTGTGTATACACCGACGCCATTGTGATCGATTCTGAACCATGTCACCAAGAGTCTTCAACCATTGGTTACGATAGTCACGCGGACCCCAACCAAGTAATCTGCATCTACCAACATGGCTCAAATCAGTTGATTTTATTCAATTACTACTATCGAGAAATTTTTGTAATCGTATTAAGAAAGAAATATTTACCATTCGCTTTATGTTACTTCAGGCTCGTGCCTATTTAGAATCATTGCCACATCGTACAAAAGTACCATGGAAACAATTATATCCATACGCTAGTGAATCAGGTAAGAGATTTTTTTTGAATTTCAGCTTTTAGTTGTTATTAATTTGTTTCTGATCATTTTAGATGTTTCATAATGGTGAGTTAAATTTGAAGTTTGGTTACTGAAGACAAACTTTTAGCAATTGAGTCGGTCTACAGTAACCAGTATTTCCAACGTTGTTCAATATTATGCGACTAATAATTTGTCATTATTATTATTATTATTTCATTGACATAAAACATAAGAAATTGATCTATGAAAAACATTTTTGATCAGAATGCGGTTTGTGATGATTGTAGTAATTTTGTTAGTTGAATTTATGGATCGATCTAATGCTCACTAGTGACTGGCTTCAAGATGATTCCCTGAAGTCCCAGTTAGAAGTCGTGACCAGTAGAGCCCAATCCGTGTCGAGAAGAGACAGGCATCTACCTCAGACAATAGATGAATGGTTGTTGAGCCAATCATGGATTGATGAAAGTTTGGCATTAACACCGTTGGATACTGGCTCAGCAGTCTAGAGATTAAGCGTTTGCACACGAGACCGAAGGTCCTGAGTTCGAATCCTGCGTGCGGAGCTGTGTACGCACACTATTGGGGAGTCTCATACTAGGACGGAAAGTCAATCTAATACTTCCAGGTTTCCAATGATGTTCTAACTTACATTGATTCATGAATTCAACTATTAAAAAGCTGAAACCTAACTAGAATGTATTTAATAAAGAAGAAATCGTGACTCGGTCAGTATAAAAACCACAAATCTGAAACTAGACTTTAAAGGGGACATAGCGGGTGACATTGTAACACGTCGACTCAAAAGATCTGTCGAAAAGACGTTTTATACTGCCAAGTTAGACGTAATTCTCTCGACTAAACCAGTACTTACATAACAAATCAAGGATAGGTTACTGATGATGGGCTCCTTCATATATGAAACTTTGTCTTATCAATAAAGATTCTATACCGAAACACGTAATTATCATCTGAAATTCACTGATTCCTTTCGAATACATTTAGTTTAGACTGTGATTTACATTTTCACCTTAAAATGCTATTTCGGCCTTAATTCCAACTGAATTCTTTTGATCATGTTGCAATGTAACTACCAGTTTAAGTCACTAGACACCAGTATGCCTAACTCCATCCCATTGATAAACCAGTCGTAACTCAAAGATGTAAAAAGTAAAGTTTCTAGCTGTGCCATCGAATGGTAGAGGTTTACATCCTACAGGGAGGTGTGATTAGTTCCCTCAAATAATTGCATTTATGAATTAATGTTATAGTCTTAGGTTGAGCAGGGCTTTTGTCGATTATCTCAACACATCTAACACTGAAATAGTTTCATTGACTAATAACTTTCATCAGGCAGAAATGTAAAATATGCATAAATGTTTTTCCACTGACAACATCCAATCAGTTAATAGGCTATAATGTTATTGTTGATTATTTCTTTTCAACAATCATTATTATAGCGCTAGATTTATTGGACAAATTACTATGCTTTGTTCCGTCACGACGTATAACAGTTGAAGATGCCTTAGCTCATCCATATTTAGAACAGTACTATGATCCAACAGATGAAGTAAGTTCTTATATATTAATTATGCATCAAATATTCTGAATGTTGTGCCAAGTGATTGTTTATAATGATTACTTACTAACTTAATTACACCTGTTACTCCTCGTGGAGAAGCATAGGCCACCCACCAGCACTCTCCATTCAACCCTTTCCTGGGAAATCCTTACCAGCTCCTTCCAGTTGTTATTCATCCTTTTCATATCTGTTTCTATTTCCAGATGTAATGTGTTCTTTGGCCTTCATCTTTTCCACTTCCCTTCAGCATTCCAAGTTAGGGATTGTCTCGTGATGCAGATTGATGATTTGCGTAATATATGTCCTATCCACTTCCAACGTCTTTTCATAATTTCGTCTTCGACTGGAAATTGGTTTGTTCTCTTCCACATTAGGCTGTTACTGATGTTATCTGGTCAATAAACGTTGAGTATCTTACGTAGACAATTGTTTATGAATGCTTGTACTATTTTTGATGATGGTTGTATTAGTTCTCCAAGTTTCAGCTCCGTACAGTAGAACTGTCTTGACGTTCGTATTGAAGATTCTCACTTTGATATTGGTTGATAGACAGTTGTTTTGAGTTGCATATTTTCTTCGATTGCTTTGCCCATCCTCGCCTTTACGTCTGCGTCTGATTACTTCATAATAAATGGCAGGAGATGATTAACAGGATACTCTTCTCTCACATTTCATACCGGCTGGGACCTATCTTCAGAAAAGCATATCCAGAGTCTAGAGCGAACTAACAGTTCCTACCGGGTACGAACTAGAGTTACTTTATACCAGTGAGGGTTCGTCTATATGTGACACTCATCTTTCAAATTGCATTTTCATGGATCAGTCTCTGTTCATTGAGTTCTAGCAGCCATATTTTGTATTCTTATTGTTACAGCAATAAATATGGATTGAACTGCGAAACAGTCACACGCGTACACCAACACACACACACACACACACATAGGGAATATTTCATCGAACTACCATAATACATCACGTACAACCAAGTGAAAAAAATTTAGTCAATTTAAGTAATTAAAGACGTACAATTTGTATGCATGAATTATAAGGGAAAAAAATAGAGAACATATTTTACTAAAACGAGTTTTTTCTTTCATTTTTTATTATCGACCCATGAATATTGAATTGAAAATAGGAATACATTTAGTACCATACTTTTTCGTGATTTAGTTGAAGTTAAACATTAACACCGTTGTATACTGGCCTGCTTAGTGGTCCCGGGTTCAAATCTCACGGGGCAGGATTAAGGATGAAACACTGCTGAGGAAGCCAATACTAGGATGAAACAGCCGTCTAGTACTTTCAGGTTTTCCATTTATAAAAAAAAACTGTTAAAAACGTTGAAGGATGTAGACTAAAGTCAATCTTAACAGAATAGTTCCACTTATTCTACAACTTCAGATAAATTTTGAGCTAAATATTGTCAATATATGCTTTTTTTCTTATTGTTTCATCGTATTTATCCATATTCTACTTATCATCAGAATCTGATTATTCTAGTGATCTACTTATAACGATTTCTCAATCAAAATCTTCTAGATACTATTTTGGTGGAGTTTTGTTCTATGAGCTGGATGGTTTGGTCATGGTCTTTCGGAAGAACGATGGAAGCTCCACGACTAAACCATCCAGCTCAGAGAGCAAAACCACCAAAATCATTCACCTGAGCTACAAATCTTCTCCACCATATGGAACTATTTGTTAAAATCTTCAAGGATCTTTATGTAATTTGTTAATAGTTTATTCAATCAAATTGAAAGTCATCTGATCTTATCTTGCTAACAACTGGTAATCTAAAATATCAACTGATCAAATGTGTTTTGATAATACGTTCAATATATGAATCAAATAGAAGAAACTGAGATAAGGTGAAACTATAATTTATGGACGACCTTTTAGCGATGCTAGACTGACTGACCTTGAGAGTGTTCACTTCATAACTGGGACCAAATGAGGGTTATAAACCCAGTGTGTGAGGAATTAGAATTATGATTTACAGTTGATGATTAAGGTAAGGAATTAGATGTCAATACGCTATTTGACCAATTGGATGAGTGAATTTCGCGCTAAAATCTGAGACCTGTTATCTTATATGTTATTGGTTCGTCCATAAATTAAAATCTCACCTAGGATCATTTAAAATAAATGAATGTAGTTATAAGCTGCAAGTATTTCTGACCATTTTAATAAATTATATTAGTTACTCATAAAATGGACTTGTTCAGAGGTTTCTCATTAAGATTAGTATAAGGAGCTCGTTGACATTATTAATCGACTTAAACTAAACGACTACCGGAAATCAAGAAATAATGAACAGATACTTTGTCTTGATATGATACTCTTTAACAAAGTTCATCCATGTCACGGTCAGTGGTCGAATCCTGAAGCTTCAGATCATTTAGTTGATATTCAGTGCTTTACATTCATAATTTCAATTCATTCTCATCATTACACAAACATCATTTACTGTCCACGACGAATAATCTTTATAATTTCTACAATAGGTTAAACTTTATCAATCACAGATTCTCATTAAAACTTTCAGAGTCCTTCTCTAATAAGAATAAAATTATTATTCATCTGTAGTTTATAATCTACTAAATATAAATCCCAGTGTTTAATTACATTAGATTCCACTTACAACCGGACAACCAACCTATATACTGATATCTACTAGGATTTGATCAATGTTAACTTGAATAGAACAAGTTTTTTTAAGCAAAGGTGGATAGTGGCTAGCAGTGGAATTCAGAATGCACGTTTCGTCCTGTTGCAAGTAAAACAACATCAAATGAGTTTGAACTTCACCCCCATTGCAAAAACAGGTGGCTATCAGGACTCAGTAACTAACTAAATAACGCGATGGCGTTTGAAGCAAACGGTACTGGATTCAAGTCCCAGAGTGAACATCAACTCTGGAATGCAGGTAGATCCAACTGACGAGTCCCAAATAAGATGAAACGCTCATCCTGGATTCCCCTGCTAGCCAATATCCATCTTTGCTTAAAAAGCTTGTGATTTAAAGCCATATAGAGGAAGTCCTCACAGAATGCACACATTCCAACATGAGACTGATCAATTGCAGTTCTAAACATCAATAGGAAGATTCAAGTAAACCAAGTAAATTTCAATAGACCAAGTTAGACATCTTTTACAAATGTTCTTTTTCTTCTTGGTTTTCCAAAATATAAAATAGTGATTTTTACAAGGGTACTAAAAAAAGACAGGAAACATTGTTGTCCTCTAAAAAAATCATCCAATTCTAACGACCAATAAACAATCTATCATTTGAAGTACATCATGTAAAAAACAAAACGATAGCGACAATAACAATAATAATAATAAGAGGAAGAACAAGAACAAGAAAAGCAATTATATTCAGACAACTGGTAATTCAAATCAAGGCACTAGACGATAATGTAAAGTATGTATATACATTAAGGTATGTATATGTCAGAAATGGTTTTGTGGATAGTATAATAGTTTTTAATAGTTGAGATCTTGAACCGATTAATGTTAGACCACCATAAAAAACCTGGAAACACTGTTTGACGGCCGTTTCGTCCTAGTATGGGACTCCTCAGCAGTGCGCATCCACGATCTCGCCTCCCGCGAGGTTCAGACCCAGGACCTATGGGTCTCGAACGCGAGCGCTCAATACCTACACCACTGAGTCGGTATCCAACGGTGTCAACGTCTAACTTCAACTAATCCGGTGAGTTAATAACTCACAACAGACCTGGATGAGCTCCACTGTTCACTGCTTCTCAATATAACTTCAGGAAATAAATTAAACACTTTGATAGAGTTTTGTTCTCTGAGCTGGATGGTCGTTTGGTTGTGGAGCTGTCATCATTCTCCTGAATGATATCATCATCAGTACAAACTTCATGTAGAAGTAAATTAAACATTAGATAGTATAATTAACTAAATAAATCTATTGAAATCTTGGACCGATTGATGTCAAACCATTATTGAAAACCTGGTAGCATTGGACGGCCGTTTCGTTCTATTGTAGGACTCCTCAGCAGTGTTCATCCTTGATCCCACTCGCAGGATTCGAACCCAGGGCCTTCAATTTCTCACGCGAACGCTTAACCTACTGGATCACTGAGCTGATATCCGATGGTGTTAATGTCTAACACCAACCAATCCATGAAATTGCGCGACCATGTTCCATTGTACTGAGATAGATATCTGTCTCTACCCGACACGGATTACCTCCACTGGTTACGGCTGGTCACAGTTTAAAGGTAAAATAATGAGCTTACTTCAAATTCTGAATAGTTGGAAAGTTCAACTTTTTATTGCTCTTGAATATACATACATTACTGAAGTGTTCCATAAACAGGAAATATAGGTTTACTCAAGATTTCTTATCTATTGAATCCGACCACTTAATATTGAAAGACTAATGTGAGACTATACATTTAAATCTTATCGATTAAATTCACTGAATACTAATTATAAACGATCAATTTGTTATTGGTTATTACTTTGGTAATTAGTTAATTCAATAGAAAGAGAGATCAGTATAAAACCAAAAACGTCAATATTTTTTGCCGATCCTCTACAATCAGAATGAGGATTTGCGGAGATTGTAGTAATTTTAACTGTTGTATTCATGAGTCGATCTAAACTAGACCACCAATGGAAACATTGAAGCACTAGACGGTCGTTTAATCTTAGCATAGGACTCCTCAACAATGCGCATCTACTATCTGGCACTCGTTACGCAAATCCAGGACTTTATGTCTCCTGAGCAAATGCTTTACCCCAAGACAACTGAACCGACTGAAGTTAGACATTAATACCGTTGGATACCAGCTCAGTGATCTAGAGGTCAAGAGTTAGCGCACAAAACAGAAGGTCATAGGTTCGAGTCACTCATACCAGTTCGTGGGTGCTTACTATCGAGGAGGAATCTCATACGAAGACTAAAAGAACATCCAGTACTTCCAAATTTTCAATGTTGAACCATCTTATAT